TTCTCAATCACTCCAACATTTCCAAGTTTCACCATAGAAGCCGCAAATTCACTAAACAACAAACTTTCATCACTTGCAAACGATTCAACAATCCATCTTGTCCTGAAATCACCATATAGTGATTGATCTGATGCAAACACGCCTTTCCCTGCAAGAATTTGCTTGTAATAACCATTATCAAAAGTTGATGCAGATGAATCCAAGAACTGTCCCGCATTTTTATCATGGTTCGGTTTCGGGCATTTTCTCTTCAAGCTCTCTGCAAACTCGACGTTCAAGCTCGGATCAGTGTCGTGCACTGAACTGAAATTGTGAAGCCTAGCTTCGAAGGAAGAACAATGAGAAAACCCTAGTGTGTGTCCACCAGAAAGTGCAACCAAATCTTTAATGGAAAGGCCTCTTTTGGAAAAACTTTGAATGAGTTGAGATGTGTTGAACGATGGGGCTGGTAAATTTATGGTTTCATTTGCTCTTGAGATTCTTCCATCTTTTCTTCCATTTAGTACTTCCCAAGAGGGACCTCCAGACTGAGAAAGTGTAACAAAAAGATAGATAATAATAATAATAATTTGGTGGATAAATATGAAAATTAAGGCCTTTTTTTTTCATTTTAATCAACAAGAAAAAGTATTACCAGAGTGACAACGTCTCTTGCAGCAATGGCTAATATATCAGCACATGAAACTGTATGAGGACAAGCCTTTTCAAGCATGGTTTTGGCGTCATCGATCACATAAAATGCTCTGAGGGAGATATTTGGAGGCCCATCTTTTTCTGCTTTGTTTTCTGGGGTTGAATCCAGCAATACAGATGCATCACATCCCTATTACTCAACAAGAAATTGTAAATTTAGAGTATGTTTAGCACGTCATATCAGAACATACAATACTCATATATAATGAACAAGATTTTAGAGTATATTATGATATGCATAAACGATATTGAACAATGGTGTCACGTCCACATTTCAAACATGGCGTTAGTGTGTGTGCCTAAGTGTTGAAGACGAATAAGGTAGTCGCTCGCTATCATGATACAATGGTTAACATGGTACAGCAACCACACAATAGAATAAAAAAATGACTTTTTTCTGCACATACATTTATAGAGAGAGAGAGAGAGAG